TACCAATTTTGAAGACGTTCCATCAGGGCGTCACAGAGGTTTCGTGTCCATGAGATGGGAACGGACGATGGACGGACAACCTGAAAAACACTATGTTCTCCGGCTTAAAACATATAAAACACAGCCATTTATCCAGTGAGGAAAAAAAAAGCCTCATCATTTAAAACAGCTGCAGCCCTGTGTTGGGAGGGTTTAAAATCCTTGTTTCTAAAATGTGGATATGTAGCAAGTGGGATTTGCTGAATTATTTGTTAAGTTAAAGGATGTTGAGGCTAAATCCAGGCAGGCGAAGGAGATTTCACGCTCATTCAGGAACACAGTGTGTGTGTGAAGACCACGAGACACACCTGCTTTTCAAAGAAGTATTGTATTTCAAATGATATTCAGAAAGAATACACACACACACACACAGAAACCAAAATAAGCCATCTCGGATTTTTCCAAGTATTCAAAGTCACTTTGAGGAGGAAAAAATATAATAACAATAGTGCAGTTCAGCCAGTCTTTGTGTGGAAAAGTTCATTAAATCCATTGACTCCTCTCCTACCACGCGGTGGAGGTGGGGTTCATCCTAATCCAAGGTGTTTCCAGTCTGACGCCGAGGAAGACGGAAGTCACCTCATCTAACCCGGCATATTATACATGTCTGGGATTGGCTAGAACAGTGCAGGTGGCTAACCATGGGTTACAGATGACTTTTAAGACTCTCCATTTTAAAGTGCTCTGCAGCTTATTCCATGTGTCGGAGCTTTACATCAAGAAGTAACCTGAGCACATGGAGTTTGCTCGTACTAACTGATCTGACCAAGAGAGATGTGATGTAAGATGGTCATTTCCAATGAGGGCTTTTTAAATAAATAGGTACCAATGAGAGAGAGAGGACCAACCAACCCTGTAGTACAGGGTCACATCATCATCATCTCATCATCTAACCCTGACAGGAAGACTGCTTCACTGATCACAAACTCTGCTTTAAACATTTTTCCTGAGTCCAAAGTGACCTCATTCTGCAAAATGTTCAGTCTTCAAGCTGTAAGAGTCTTCCATCTGACACACACACACACACACACACAACACACACACACACACACCACCACACACACATACCACGCAGAGAAGAAGCTGTTTTTAATTCTCATTTCCCTCTGAGGACATGCTGGTCTCAGAGGGGAAGCGGACTCGACGGATCAGTGACGGTCCAGGTTTATTTGGACAGGCACGACGGTGTGGACCGACACACATGTTTCTTCACCCAGTCGTGGGTGTGTTTATTTTGAAAGAGCCTGTCACTTGCGGGAGACACAGGGCTCGTTGTTTAGCAGGATGGAGACATGTTTATCTGACTCTTCTGTCTCTTCCTGTGTCTCTACTGAACTTTATGATTTAAAAACCACTGTAGGAGTTTGGAGATGGGGTACTCTGTCTGAGGAACATTTGAATGATGAATAAAACGTTTGGTAAGTTTTCAGTCAAGGAAAATAAATTCCTGCTGCACATGTTTGAATATGTGAGTCAGAATCCTCCAAGTAACTGAGTGTAGAGCTCAGTATGGATCATTAAGGAGCTGTCACTCATTATTCTAT